CTGAGCTGGCGGTAGGAGGAGGGGGTGGAGCAGCCCCGGGGACTGAGGAGTGTTGCTGTCCTGTGGGAGTGAGGGTTGGGTGCACCCTGTGCTGGACAGAAGCCATGCAAAGGAAAGGGAGCATCAAAAAGATGCCATTGGTGGGGCTGGTGCTGTGGCATAACCTATTCAACTGCTGCCTGCAGCACAAAAGTCCCATATGGGCACTGGTTCAAGTACTGGCTGTTACATTTCCGATCCAACTCCTTGCTAATGTGCCTGGGAAAGCAGCAGCGAATGGTCTAAGTATGTGAGCCCCTGCTACCCATAAGGAATATCTGGATGGAGCTTCTGGCTCCTGGTTTTAGCTTGGCCCAACCTTGACCTTTGCAGCCACTTGGGGCATGCACCAGTAAATGGAAGATCTCTCTCTCTCTCTCTCTCTCTCTCTCTCCCTTCTCTGTCTCTGTGTAACTCGGTTTCTGTCTGTAACTCTGCCTTTCAAAGAACCTTGCAGCTGTGTAGGAGGCCTGGAAGAAGCTCCTGGCTTCTGATTGTCCCAGCTCTGGCCATTGCAGCCTTTTGGGGAATGAGAGTGATCTTTCTGTTTCTCGCTCTCTCTGTAAATCCAATCTACTTTTCCAATAAAGAAGAAGAGCCAGGCCCGTGCAGTAGCCTAAAGGCTGAAGTCCTCGTCTTATACATGCTGGGATCCCCTCTGGGTATGGGTTCATGTCCCAGCTCCACTTCCTTTCTAGCTCCCTGATTATGAGTGGGGAAAGCAGTCAAGGATGGCTCAAGGCCTTAGGACCCTGCACCCAGGTGAGAGACCCAGAAGAGGCTCCTGGCTCCTGGCTCCTGGCTTTGTATCTGCTCAGCTCTGGCCCGTGTGGCCACTTGGAAGTGGACCAGAGGATGGAAGATCTTTATTTCTCCTCTCTGTACATCGGACTTTCAAATAAAAATAAATAAGTCAAAGGTGGCTTCCGTGGCGCAGCGGAGGCCAAATCAGAGCCATAGCTGTAGAAGACGCGGAAAGGGAGGCTGCGGAGGTGCCAGTTACAGCCATGTAACCCCACAGGTTCTCACCCTGTGAGCCGGAGATTGGTTTGTTTTGTCTGAAAGGCAGAACCTCCAAAAGAGGCAAAGAAGCAGAAATCTTATATCTGCTGGTTCATTCCCCAAACAACCACAACCACCAGGGCTGGATCAGGTTGAAGCCAGGAGCCTGGAACTCCATCTGGGTCTCCCACACGGCTACAGCATTTGGGCCATGATCTGCTGCCCGCCAAAGTACATGAGCAGGTGCTTTAGCAGGAAGTTTGATTGCAAGGGCAGGCGCTAGGACTGGAGCCGGTACTCTGATGAGGGAGGCCAGCATTGCAAGCAGCAGCTTAATCCACTGTGCCACACAACCAGCCCTTTGGCTTGGTGGCTTCTGGCCAAGTCATAAACAGAGTCCAGCTCAGCATGTAGCATGAGGCCAATATGTTAATTGAGGGTTGGTTGGCGGATAATTCCCTACGCGAGTGGAAAGGGCCTTTCCCAGCAGAGTGCAGCTGTGTGTGTGTGTGTGTGTGTATAAAGGTTTTTATTTGCAAACCAGAATTACAGAGATGGAGGGAGCTCTAATTTCCTAGCCACAACAGGTGGGGGCTGGATCACTTTGAAGCCAGGAGCTTCTTCTGGGTCTCCCACGCAGGTGCAGGGTCCCAAGGCTTTGAGTCATCCTTCACTGCTTTCGCAGGCCATAATCAAGGCACTGGATAGAAAGTGTGGAGCAGCTGGGACTTGAACTAGCACCTACACGGGATCCCAGCATGTGGTAGTTGAACCAGAGCGCTGGCCCCCAGCTGTGTGTACTCTATCCAGGCAACTGTGGAAGCTCCCAAATCCACCTGCTCCCAGCAATGGAATCTGAAGAGAATCTGCTGGCAGGCCTGAGGTCGGGATGGAGTCAGGGACACACACCCACACCCACACACCCACACACCCACACACACACACACACACACACACACACACACACCCACACACACACACACACACACACACACACACACACACACACACACACACACACACACACGAGCCTGTGCCCTGCTACTTTTAAGATTTTATTTATTTGAAAGATACAGAGATTTCCATCAGTTGGCACACGTGCTAACGGGTGCTAATGATTAGGGCTATGCCAAACAGAAGCCAGAACTCCATCCGAGTCTCCCAGGGGAGCGCCAGGGCACATGGGCCCTCTCCATTGCTGTCTCAGGCTGGATCAGAAGCAGCACAGCCAGGAAGAACTCGAACCAGCATGCAGTAGGCCACAGCCCAGCCTGCAGTGGCTTCTTTCTGGAGGAGATAGTGCGAAGGAAAGCAACCCACACAAGCCACAAGGGGCCCTGTGAGGGCGGTTTCCCTCTGCCATACCTGCTTCCCCTCTCATTCACCCAACAGAAAGCAAACTGTGGAGGCAAGTGCCGGTAGGTGGCTGCGATCAGGTTCCCTCATATTGCAGGTTCCTGGTGGAGAGCAAGGCAGAGCCTCCACCCCTGTCCTGTGTCTGTCCAGTGTCCTGTCACTGGTCAGTCCCAGGCTTTTGATCAGATGGGCAGGGCCAAAACAAGGAGACCCTGGAGAGTCCTTGGGTTCAGGTGGGCGGGAACTTCTGTGACAGACAGCCCTCCTGCCAATCAAAGGACAGCTACCTCTTAAAAGCTGCGGTGCAGCCACGGGGAATGTATACTACAGCGCTGGGAGGTGACAGCATCGCTGGGACTAGAGGGAAGACAGGATGGCCTGGCGGGGGACACCCACGCGTCACTAAAGGGGAAGCTGAGACACGATGGACAGGGTCTTGGCAGGCCCTGTGGAGGGCCAGGAGACCTGCCCCGGGATGGTGTGGAGCGCTTCCAACTCTGGGGCGAGCTGCCGGTCGCTGACAGCCTCCCCCTGTGGCCGGAGGCGGGCGCGGGGCCTCCGGTGGTCACCGCACCAGCGCGGGCACTGCTGCCACCCAGTGGCACAGCCGGCTGCCTCCCGGCTCCTGGCCCGGACGCTCTTCCGCGGACACCGAAGGACTTGGGAAAAGGAAAGGGGTCACCTCGCGCCCCTGAACGTGGGAGGGGAGTCTCGGGGTGGGAAGCACACACCCCAAATTCCCCAGCACGGGGGCCACTGGCGCCCTGGTCCCACCGAGTTCCACCCCTGTGGAGACCCCTCCATCAGCACCGCCATTAGCATCATCTTCACCCTTCTGCCCTGCGGGCTAGCATGTCCTCTCACCTCACCACCTCAGGGACCCCCGTCGGAATGGCTCCAGGCTGTGACATCACAGAACCCGGCATCCTGAAGCCATCCTGGTCATGAGGCTGCGGCTGTGGGTGCTGGTGTGGCTGTGGCTGACGAGGCTGAGGGCAGGGGAAGCAGGTGGGAAGTGCTGGGCGGCCAGCTGTGGGCGAGGGGCAGCGGCCCCTAGGCACGTGTAGGCCTGTCGTGGCCTTCCTTTCCTGTCCACCCTCCGTCTCCCAGTGCACCGCAGCCTGGGGGTTGCGCAGGGCAGTGCCCCCTCCCCAGCTGTTGTCACAGGCGTCCTTCTGGCTCCCAGCACCCAGGCCAGCTAAGGCGTCCACCCCACGAGCAGTGGGTCCGCTCTTCATAGACAGGCCGGACTTCTTCGACTACCCGGACTCAGACCGAGATAGCCTTCTGGCCGTGGCCCAGTTCATCGGGGAGAAGCCTGTTGTCTTTGTTCCCTCAGGTAGGAGCCACCTTGTGGAATAGCCTCTCACTTCGCCAGGGCATGGAGTGGGCTACCCCTGGCATGGACATGTCAGGCCCAGCAGAGTCAGCGGACCCGTGTCCCCCTCCTTGGCCAGCAGATTCCAGTTCCAGGTTCTTCCACCACATCCTGATGGGCGCCATGGTGGTGGCCTTCTTGTTTCTCCTTTTCCAGTTCTGCACCCACATGTAAGCCCTGCCTCACCTTCCAGGACCCCATATAAGCCACACCCTCCTGCAAGCCCCGCCTTCCCAGGCCTGCCCTGCCCACCTCCCTGCGGACAGCTGAAGCACCCCAAACCACCTCCACCGATCTCCATACCCCACAGGAGCTTCCAGAAAGGGGCCTAAGGAGCCGACGGAGCACCCATGCGCACCCTTCTGTGCCCTGATGAATAACTGGCTTGGCCAGGTTCCTTCCTTCACCACCGCTCCGTGGCCAGCGGAGCCCGGTGGGCACTCAGCTCCAGGGTCCCCGGGATCCCCCATCCCCTCCTCCTGCTCCACCTCCCAAGAACTGGGCCAAGACAGGACAGGGCAGTGGTGGCTGTTGACGGAGATCAACTTTATTAGCGGCTGGGAAAGCACCTCCCAGGCACCCCGTCCCCAGCCCAGAGGACGCCTGGAGAGATGTGTAGCACCAGGGACATGCCAGGGCCCAAGGGCGAAGATGTGCGGCCAGTGGGGAGGGACAGGGCGCCCCTCACCTGCCCCCGGGGATGCTCAGCACTGGGTAGGGGCGGAGGGTAGCAGCCTCTTTCCCCCACCCCACCAAACTAGTTGGAATTCGGACAAATAAATAAGATTTCTCAAGCCAGCCTCCCTGGGAGAGGTGCTGGGGGAGCTGGGAGGCAGTGAGGCCCACGGCTTGGTACAGTGCTTGCCCTCTTTCTGGGTTGCAGCTGAGGGGTGAGGCGGGTGCTGGGCAGCGGGGCCTCCCCACGGTCTCTGATCTTCCCCCTGCCCTGTCTCCCTACACACCCTCCAGCCCCAGCAGGGAGAAGCATGGTCCCTCCTCTCTTCTGCCCAGGGAGTGCATGGGGGAGAGGTCCCCTCTGATCCTGCCTCCTGTCACCCCTGCCCCAGCCCCCTCTCCCGGGGGTCAAGTCCATCTGTGGTCCTGGGGCTGTCAGGGCCAGAGGCGTCGTCCCCCCACGTCCCTTCCCTCCTGCCCGCATCCCACCCCCTTACACGTCAGCCCCAGAGCTCTGTCCCCGCGGAGCAGGGCGGGCAGGGTGCTGCTCTCAGTCGCGGGTCTGGCAGGGCGAGGGCGGCGGGCAGCCCCGGGGCCGGAAGAGGCGGCAGGCCCCGCGGCAGATGAGGAAGAACCAGTAGAGCTGGGGGGCCAGCAGTAGCGCAGCGCCCAGGTTCACGTGCGCGGGCAGGGCCGAGGGCACGGCGAGCAGCGGCAGCCCCGCGTGGCGCCCGTAGGCCCAGTACAAGTAGGGGAACAGCAGCACCCGGCAGCACAGGAAGCTGAGCAGCATGAGGGCGCCGTTGACCTTGTGCAGCAGCGTGTGCTGTCGTTTGTACTGTGGGCACAGAGAGGGCTGCCAGGGGGCGGGGCCGCGCCCAGACACCGCCCCCAGCCCCGCCCCGTACCGCCCGTAACCACGCCCCGGCACAGCCATAGTCCCGCCTCTAGCCCCGCCCCGCTCCGCCTTGTCCGCCGCCCTGAGCGTCCCTGCCGAGAGCGCCCCCGTGTGGCTGTGCCCTCTCTCCGCCCGCAGACGCCCCCTCACCTGGATGAGGATCTTGCCGAGGCACACGAAAGGGGTGCTAACCTCCGCCATCAACATGCAGCCTAGAAAGAAGTCTCCCTTGCCCTGTCGCCACACCTGAGGGGAGGGACCAAGACAGTGAAGGGACAGCCACCTCTGCCCTGCCTCTCCCCCGTCACTCCCCGACCCTCCCACTCTGAGGGTCAGAACGAGTGCACAGCAGCACGAGGGGTGCGGGGGCCGGGGAGCGGGGTGTATGACCTTACCGCATCCCTCCTTGTCACCCCTGAGGGAAAAGGGCACAGCTTCTCCCAGCACAGCAAAGGAGACTCAGAGACACGGGGCAGCACCCCAGCTGGGCAGAGCCCAGCCTTCCTCCAGACGCAGGTGCCTCCTGCCACAGGGGCTGGGGGGTGCCCAGCAAGCCTTCTCTGGCGCTGCACCCTGCTGCCAAGACCCAGGGGTGTCCTCCCAGGGTTCCCGTGGGGGTAGGTGCAGGCAGGAGGGCCGAGGCTCTGGGCCAGCCCGGAGGACTCACCACCGAGAGTGGGAAGCACACCAGCACCATGACGGCGTGGTGCAGCACCATGAGGAACTCCTTGTGCAGGTAGCCGCGCACCACAGCCCAGGTGCTGCCCGCGGCGCGGGCCTCCCCGCCATGCTCTTTGACCTGGTGCTTGTGCCAGTGGCAGAGGAACATGGCGTAGATGTCATAGATGAAGTAGGGCACTGCAAACTGCGTGTAGGCGGAGGACAGCCAGTGTCTGTTGGGCAGAGAGAGATGTTTCAAGGAGGGCCAGTGGCTGGGCAGAGCTGGGCACCCTGGCCAGTCAGATCTCCCGTGGTCTTGGCAAACACCCCCCAAGACACAACTGGACTCTTGAATTCTGGATGATGGTGCCCCTGCCGCTGCTCTGCTCTACGTAGGAGAAAGGGAAAAGAAACTAGAAGGTTCCCACGACCAAAGGCCATTCAAGTGCAAGTGCAGGCGAAGCCTGGAGGACGGTGGCTGCTTGAACATAGGACAACGGTACGAGGAGGGCTGGGGGGGGTTACTGGGGGGGGGAAATCTCCCCTGGCTACTCACTACGCACAGGCCCCAGGCTAAGCCTCTACGGCCCTTGCATGTACAAGGCCCTGGAAGAAGGCAGTTGTTAACTCCACAGAGCAGGTGGAGAAACCAAATCACGGAAGGACCAGGTAACGCAGCCCAAGCCAAACAGAAATCTGGCTGCCTTGAGATCCCTGGAAAATTCAAGAAGCATTAGAGGCTGGTCGTGTTCTTGGTGCCCAGGCTGGCACTGTCTGTGCCGCTTGTTCTGCCCAAGGGAGGCCCCATCTCTTGCTTTTTCAGGTATGGCCAAGCATTAAGGAGAAATTGCTGAGCTGAAGGTGCCAAGAACAGACCAAGCTCTCCCTGCTTGGAGAGTAAACAAAAACGAGAAGGGCATGAATATGCAACATTGCATTTTCCCTCTTGAGTCAGCATCTTGGCACTCTCGTCGAAGCCCTGGAGTCTTGCGAGTGACCACCCCAAGGTGGGGTGTGTGTGGTGGGGGGGAGACCAGCAAGGAAGGGCCCAGCAGGAACTCATCCACCCACCTTGGCAGAGGGGTGGTGGAAAAAGATCTAGTGCAAGGAGATGCTGAGGGGGAAAGTAGAGAACTGGGGTTGGAGCCAGCTGAGGACAGGGGTGTGGCAGGGCAGCTGGAAGAGGTGAGGCGGTCCACCGTCCAGCTGGAGACACACATTGCTACAGCATGGGAAGGACAGGGATTTGGGAGAGAAGAGTGGGGAAGACCTAGCTGGCCCGTGGGCAGTTCCCAACAGGAAGGGCCCAATGAGCCCCCAGCAGCCCTGCTGTGGAGTGAAGCCCTGAGCCAGGGGGAGGAGGCTCAGGAGGGACTGACTGAACTTGGCTGCTCTGTGACTAGTTAAACTGGGCCCCACCCTCCAGCAATTAGGTACTAAGAAGGGGAACAGCTGTTGCTCTGGATTAATCCTTATCCTCCTCTACCTGAGGATTAAAGAGAAGAGAGACAAGAACAGACCTAGTTGGGGTGGGGTTGGGGAGGGAATTCAAGAACCGGAAGGTGACCTATGGGTGTTGAAGGAAGGTAGGACATGCGTGGGCGCCTGGATTCCTCTCGGGCCAGCAGTGGGATGGCCCCGGGGAGAAGGACGTCACCCGGTCGGCTTGGAAGAAAGAATTAAGTGTCCACCACATTTACATCAAGGCATCTGTCCCACATCAACTTAGTTCCTCCTCCTGGCAGCCCATCTGGGAAAGGAGGCGACCTCTAGAGACGAGAAAACTAATGCGTCTACAGGAAAAGAGGGGGTACAGTGCGCATGGAGCACACCTTGGGAGTAGAGCCATCCGCACAACGTCCCCCTGGGACTCAGGGCCACCAGAGGAGGAAAGCAGAGCCCTCAGCTGAGGCACCTGCAACTCACTCCCGTGGGTCCCGTCAGCACCACGGACAGAGCCGGCCGCCCGCTGCTGCTGCCCCACCTCGCAGGCCCTGGGGCCTCTTTGGCAAGCGGCAGGCACTGCAGCAGCTACCAGTGCCAAATTTTGGCCTCTTCACCCTCCCTCCTGCCCCCACTGCGTGACCGTTAGTGGCCTTGTTTGTGTCATCTGTCCTCCAGCTTCTGCCTCGTGCTCTGAGCTGGGGCCGGGCACCTGGATGGTGGGAGGAGGTGAGCCACGCAGCAGCTGGAGGGACACCCCAGGTGGGTGCAGGTTAGAAGTAGGGGCCAAGGGGGGGGCGTGAGGAGGAGGGGAGACAAAGACCATCACCCACTAGGACCCAAGTGGCCGAGCAGTGGCCTGGAACCGCCCCGAGGATCCTCTCAGATCCCCGCTCCTTCTCCCCACTCTGACCTTTAAGGACAACATGGGATAAATTTATCCCTAGGTGTTGAGTTGCAGTCACTGCAGTTAACTTGCTCAGGCCCAAGTTCAGGGCTTAGGGACCACGGACAGAGTTCCCTAGAAGGGGAGTTCTCCCTTACCTTAGCAGCCCGCCCCCCCCCCCGTACCCAGGGTCCGCAGGGTTCAGAGGGCACTTACTGGTCATCTATGATGTGCCTGCAGGAGGTGGAGACAATATACCCAGCAGTGGAGGCCATGATGGCCTGGACGGAGGAGACCAGCCTGGAGGGGCGAGAGGGAGGCAGGTGGGAAGGCAGGCAGGTGGGCTCCAAAGTTCCTCTCTGCCCAGGAAGTGGCTCGACTCCTAGACCTGCTCGCTTCACACAGCCACCCTCACCTACCTCCTCCCCAGGCTGGGCTTGCTGCCCTCTGACACCCCAACCCCTCAGCCGTAGCCATTCACCTGTCCACCCCACACCTCGCTGCCTGCCTTTAGCCTGGCCTCAGTTGTGGATCCCTAGCCCCCCTCTCTCTGGGAAGGGGATCCTGGGAGGGGTGAGGATGAGGTGAGGCAGGGCTGGGCAAAAACCTGGTCCTGGGAGGAAGTGGCAGTTAGACTCAGGGGCTGAGGGAGGGGTGCCCTGTACCTGTCCCCCCTCAGCAGTCCAGTCATCCTGCCACATGCCACTTGTCCCCACCCTGGCCACTCCCCCACTTTCTCTGACTGCGGCCCCCATCCCAGGCTGTACTCTGCCCTGTCCCTTGTTGCTCCAACACTGGCCCCCTGCCTTCTGCCCTAATATCTAACAGGAGCGTCTCAGTGATTGGCCATGCTGGAGGTGGAAGGGGAATGTGGACAGGAGAGAAGGCAGTGTGGATAGTAGACCAGATGGCTGGGTTAGGATGCCGCCTCCCAGGACAGCAAGTGATGCCCTGGGGGCAGGACGGCAGGAGGCTGGGAGTGGACGGCCTTTGCCTCTGACCATTGCAGCAGCTCCTGTCCCCAGAGCACCCAAAGGGACAGGGGACGTGCTGGGGGTCTCTGGCATCTTGGGGCCCCGGAGGGGAAGCAAAGCCCTTTTACCTGGCGGAGACAATCACGGCGTCGGCCTCCCCCCAGCGCGGCTGGGGCAGCCGCTGGAGCGTGTGCTTGGAGAGCAGGAAGAGCCCGGGGAAGACCACCCCCCCGGCCACCATGGGGGTCAGCATGGTGTCTCGGGGCCCGACCAGGGACACAGGAGGGCGGGCCGAGAAGGGACGGGCAGGCCCAGCCTGAGGGAGCGAGTTGGGGAGGGGAAGGGCCGGCACAGCCCCGGGTCTTAGAGGGAGAGCGAGCGAGGGCCAGGGGCACAAAGGGGACAGGGCGGGGACGGGATGGGGCAGGGACAGGATGGGGGCAGGCAGCTGGCCCAGCCCCGGGAGAGGACCGCTGGCCAGAGAGCCGGGAGAGCACCCCCGGAGGATGCCAGGGAGCGAGGGCGCGGGCGAGAGCCGGGGAGAAGGCTGGGGAGGACTGGGCGAGAGGACCGCGAGGGCGCGGGGACGGGAGGAGGGCGCCGCTGGGGGAGGGGCGGGAGGGCCGAGGCAGGTGGGGAGGGGGGGCTTACGTGGAGCAGCGGGGAGGGCCCGAGGAGGCGGGCTGGGGGATGGGGGTGGGACCGGGGTGCCAGCCCCGGGCGGGGGAGGGAGGCAGCACGGCGGGGAGCCCGAGGCGCGGGCGGCCCGGCGAGCGGTCAGCGGTCAACCCCGCTCTCCCGCCGCCGTCGCCGCCGCCTCTCGCTGTGGCCACGGCCCCCGCAACCAGGCGCACATGGCACTACAGGGGGTTGGTGCCCAGCCCCCCGCCCCCCCTGGGCGGAGGGGGAGGGGGAGGGGAAGCCGCCAGCTTGGGGAGGGTGGGGGGAAGGGCGGGGGAACGGTGGCACCGACCAGACACCAAGAAACCGGACCTGCAGCGGCGTCGCCCCATGCAGCTCTGAGCCACAGCCGCGGCTGCGACAGAGATGGGGGGAGCAGGGGGGACAGGGAGGGGAGGCCCTTAAAGAGACAGCAGCTGCGGCAGGCACAGGGGCTGCTAGGGGCAATGAAGGCCAAGGCAGGAGAGCTAGGTCCTGGTGGAGGCAGGTCTGAGGTCCCAGAGGGGCCAGCCTCTGCTTCCCACCCAGTACTCCGCCAACCCCTGCCATGTCCTCCTCTGCCACCACGGGAGTCGCAGCTTGCGGACACCTGGTCCAGCCAGGCAGACAGGATTTCCTGGCACTATCCTCTTGTCGAAGGGAAGGATTGCAACAGGACGCTTTGGCTGGGCACCCATGGGCTTGCCCTCATGGGAGGGAGGGGACCAGCATGCAGGAAGACACAGGAGCCTGGCTCTTCTGCTGCCACCTGTGCCCCGTCCCCAGGTAATGACTGACAGCACAATAGGGGTGAGGGGTGTGTGTGTGTGTGTTGCACCAGCACCCTTGCCACCCAGCCAGTGCCCTGGACACTGGTGGATGCTGCCCAGCCACGTGGTGATGAAGTAGCAGGGACGCCCTCCCTCTAGGAAATCACCCTGTGGAGACTCTGCCCGGCCTCCCGCTGTGCACCTGCCCACCCAGCCATCCTGCACCCCTCATCCCCTCCAGCTTTCCCATTCTCTCCTGCTCTCCTCCCTCTGCCACGGCCCCCAAATAGTCCAGATTTGAAATGGGAAAAGGCCCCCAGGGATTGGCTGTAGCGAGCCCCCTCATTCAACTCCCAGGGCAGTAGGGATCAGTGACCAGGCCAAGGCCACCTGCAGGTCCAAGGTCACCCGCCTAGGGTGGCAGGGGCTCTCCGCACCTCTGCACTCTGCATGCCACCTCCCGTCCAGCTGGGTGCAGCTTCTGCATGATACAGAGCCTACTGCCCTAACTATGGAGTCCAGCTGGCCCCGGACAGACACTGCAACAGCCAACTCCACCAAGGACTCTTCCCCGTCCCAGGTCCACCTCGGGCTCTAAAAGCAGAGCTGGGGGGCTTGGGATTTGCAGTTTTGTGCCGCCCTCTAGTGGCACACTGTGGGAAGGCCCTGGAAAAGTCGCCTAAGGCAGCGGTTAGAGATCGTTCCGGATCAGTCCTGATTAGAGACAGTCCGGATTCAGGCATCATTGGGGGTAGGGATCCAACTTCCTGAGTCTTTTCTCCCTGCTGAGCACAGGGTAAGGCGATTTGTACTGATCTATATTTAAGTCACAGAGGCAGGATAGAATTTACAGGAGAAACAGGTTTCAAAGCTGAGTTGCCACAGCTACGAGCACTGGTTAAGTTGGAAGTCAGGCCTCACTCAGACTGCAGTGGGGAGAGCCCAGGTCGGCCGGGGCTTGGCTCCGCTGGCTCCGCTGGCTCCGCTGGCTGCCCTGCTCCTGATGGGAGCTTGCTTTGTCAACTATGTGGGTGTTCACAAAGTTTCTTCAAAAACTTTGTAGAAAACAGCTTAAAAAAAAAATGAATGACCCTTGTGGCACATCCGCCATTGTGCATCAGCCATGATGCCAGCATCCCATATGGACGCTGGCCACTTCCCACCCAGTTCCCTGCTTGTGACCTGGAAAAGGAGCAGAGGATGGCTCAAGTCCTTGGGAACCTGCACTCATGTGGGAGACCTGGAAGAAGTTCCTGGCTCCTGGCTTTGGATCAGCTCAGTTCCAGCCTTTGCGGCCACTTGGGGAGTGAGTCAGCAGACGGAAGATCTTCCTCTCTCTCTCCCCTCCTCTCTGTATATCTGACTTTCCAATTAAAAAAATCATAATTTATATCATATCATATAATATCATATCACAGGCCAAGATCTTCTGTCTGCTTCTGTTCATTTCCTAAGCAGCCGGAGCTGGGCCAGGCTGGAGCCATCAGCCTAGAGCTCTTTCCTCCAGATCTCTCATGCCAGCACCAGGGACCCACACCCTTGAGCCATTCTCCTCTGCTTTCCCAGGTGCATCAGCAGGGAGCTGGATCGGAAGTGGAGCAGCTCAAACTGGAACTGGCACTCACATGAGATGGTGGTGACACAGTGGCAGCTTCAGCTGAGACAACACAATGCTGGTCATTATGTTTTGTTTTGTTTTTTTAATCTTTTTTTTTTTACAAGGTTTTTAAATTGCCTCCATAAGTCACAAATTTGCTTGTTGAGGACCCAAGCCGGTCCACAAAGCATATTTTATTTGCCAGTATGGTTGTTTTCTTGAGTTCTAAATTCCTCTCCAATGTCCTCAAACGGAGTATGTCCCTCCAGCTCAGGACACACGCCCCCACGCATGGAAATTCGCCCTGTCCTGGCTCATCTGCTTACATAGCATTTCCACAAGGAAAGTGGCTGTTCTTACCAAGCACAATGACAAACGAGGCAGAGGAGGTTGCAGGGGTGCAAGGACAACATGGAAGATTCCGCAGCCTGCACCTTAGGACCCCTAGCCCACCCTCCTCCCATCCCGCCCTTGGCTTCAGCCTTCACTGCTAACCCTTCCTTGAACAGGGGTACTCTCCTAACTCCAGCAGCCCTGACCATGTCCCTCCCGGGGTGGGTGAGGCGAGACACTTTCCTTCCCCTCTTCCTTTGTTTTCTTACTTGGACGCCACCAGGACAGCCTCTGATGTCTCCATCCGCAAACTGGCGAGGTTCTGCAGGGCCCAGCGGAGGGCGGCAAAGCACAGCGGGAAGAAGGCGCAGCCTAGTGCCAACAGCAGGGTCATGCCTGGCTGTGGTGAGGAAGGTAGAGGGCAGTCCCCAGCGGCCTTCAGACCCCACCCCCTCCCCGTGCACCTGTAACCCCGGGCATGCCCCCAGTAGCCCTCTGCTCCAACCCCGTTGGATCCTCTTCATGGATCACTGCGCACCTGAGGGGTGTTTGTTGAAAACCCAATCTGACCAGTTCATTCCTTTGTGCTAGGACAGCTGAGGTTGACCTGCACACCGCCTCTCCCGCTCCAGCCCATCGCAACCTCACACTGTCTTTTTCCTTCGCTCCTGGTATTTCCCTGCCTGTCCTGTAACTCTCCCCAGAACCCCTCACCTTTGCGCCCTCCGCCCCTCTTCCTGGGCACTCACATTTCTCACTTCTGAAGAGCCAAAGTGGGAGAATGACGAGGGAGGGTGGGAAAAGGCAGAAGCAAGCCTTAGCCCATGAAAAGGAAGTGTTAGCAAAAGCCTGGAAACAAATAGCTTTACACCAATATCATTTTTGTCTCCAGAGGCCTCCCCTCCCACCCACTGCCGGGAGGAGAGGAGCCGGGCAGGTGCAGGCAGCAGGTGCGGGATCCCGGCCTGCCATCCTGCATCCCTCAAACGTCCAGGACCGCAGCCTCCTGGGGCGAAAGGAAGGCGTCAAACTGCAAGCCCGCGAGGCTGTGGGGCGGAGGCAGTTGGAGGTGCCAGGGAAAGCCCCTTGTCATTGGTGGGCAGCTGGGAATGTGCCATCCTCCCATTGGTCAACCTTTTGACACAGGCACCCTCTCATTTGCTCCCCTGCTCTGGATGGGGGCCAGGTCGTAGCGCCTTGCTGCCGTATTGGCCAATGAGAATGGCTTGTTGATTTGACGGACAGCTGCGTTTCACGGGTGGAGGTGAAAACCAGGGACCAAGGAAGGAGAGGGGAAAATTCGAATGGGGAGTCCTGGCTTGAAATAGGCAAGAGGGGAAACAGCCAAAAATGGGGCGCCACGGGGTGTGTGGGCCTCAGATTCCACGCACGATCTAAGAAATACACAGTATGTCTATGTTTACATGAAATAGGGGGGTTGGGGTACAATGAGAGCAACTGAACCAAGGGCAGGTGTGAACTGGGGGGCGGTGAGAGACCCCAGTACGCCCCACGGGCATTTGCTGGGCTGTGCACATGCGTGTACGTGTGGAGCCGCAATCCTTTTTATGGTGCATTTGAAGCTAAAACTTTTCCGATTCTAAACAAACACGCCCTCTAATCGCCTGCATAGTAGTGGGTAAGTCCTTTACCCTTGCGCCCAGTGCGGTAGCATGGGCTAGGATCCCATTAGGGCACCGGTTCATGTCCTGGATGCTCCACTTCCCATCCAGCTCCCTGCTTGTGGCCTGAGAAAGCCGTTGAGGACGGCCCAAAACCTTGGGATCCTGCACCTGTGTGGGAAACCTGGGAGAAGTTCCTAGTTCCTGGTTTTAGATCAGCTCAGCTCTGGCTGTTGTGGCCATGTGGGAAGTGAACCAGCAGGTGGAAAATCTTGCTCTCTCCTTCTTTCTCCAAATCTGCTTTTTCAATGAAAATAAAGAAAAGCTTTAAAAAAGAGAGAGAGAAAGAAAAGAAATGAGCCTATATTTTGTTTCTTTCTTTTTCTAATATTTATTTGAGACAAAGACTAAAAGAGTAAGCTCACATGCACCTGCCTGCTGG